TGGCATAGGATTTTGTTCCAGATGGTCTTTTGGAAGAGACTGGGGAACTATCCCTCAGGTTCTCAGCTCCAGCAAATATGCTCAGGCTTCATGCTTTGCTCCACCTGGACAACCAGTGTGCTGGAATAAGATAGCCCCCATTCATGTTTCTGATGGTTGACTGGCTGGCAGGCCAGGTCAGAAAAACCATAATCCAAGAAAAAAAATCCAAACCATGATTGAGTCTCTGATTCCTCGAATAGATTATCGTCCATTATTACTTCCCAAACCCAGAGGTGCAGACATCGACTCCCAAACCTCAGATATTCAGTCTGCTACCCAGTATGCTTTAAGCATTACCAACCCCAGCCTAGCAAAAGACTGCTGGCTGTGTTTGACCTTGGGAACCTCCTGGAACTAGCAGTCCCTGTGCTCAATGATTCCTTGTTGCCTAATTGTGATTTCATGCTGAAGGATAAACTGCACACTTAGTGTCCCCTTTAAGGTTCAGCCCACAGGGTTTAATAATTCCTCATGCTTTTACAAACATTTTAAGAATGTCAGTTTTGATATAGATGTAGGACAAGCCTTTACCTCTTGCTTTTCAGTGATTCATATAGCCACAGCTCTATATGCTGGGCCTGGACAAGTCCTAGCTTGCGGCAATGACTTGGCTTATTCCTTGCTGCCTGCTGATTGGACAGGATTGTGTGTCCTGGCTACCCTCCTTCCAGATACAGAAATAATACCTGGGGGATGAGCCCATCCCAATACCCAACCAGCATAGACTATTTCACTCCAAGGCACAGGAGTGCAGTCCAATTCATCCAATATTGGTTGGACTTGGTATTTCAGGAGCCCTAGCCATTGGTTCCGCAGGCATGGGAATAGCAATAAAATCATACTCCAAGCTGTCTCAACAGCTTGCTGATGATGTACAGACCATCTATAGGTCAGTCCAGGACCTTCAGGAATAAGTTGACTCTCTAGCAGAGATGGTCCTACAAAATAGAAGAGGGCTAGGCTCACTGCTGACAAGGGATGCATTTGTTTGACTTTACAGGAAAAATGCTGCTTTTATGCTAACAAATCCGGAATAGTTCGAGACAGAATCAAGAAACATCAAGAAGAGCTTGAGAAGCATCACAGCTGTTTGATCAACCCATTTGGAGCACCTGGAATGGCCTTACTCCTTCCCCTGCTAGGTCCCCTGCTTGGCCTACTAATTCTTTATTGTTAGGACCTTTTCCGTTTAGCAAATTGATGGCCTTCATTAAAAATCAAATGGATGATATAAAAATGCAACCCATACAGGTGCATTATCATCGCCTTGATATGGCCAATGTGGGAGACAGCTATGATGAACTCTAGACAATACACAACTAAACCTGTGTATCGATAAATCCGTCAAGGTCATCCTCTCCTTGGCGAGCAGGGCTGGTTAGCCAATGATGGGCAACGGAGGAAGGACAGAGAGTATCCTGCCCCCAAAGACAGGAATGGTCATCACAAGATATCATCTCCAATGACGGGTAAGGCTATGCCACACTCCTGATCCAAGAATTCCTCTGACAAAGACAGACACAGCCCCCTCAAGGCTATCCCACCTCACGGCCTTTTTAATACTATATTTAAAGGGGGACCTGTGGGCAACACCAGAGCAAAGTTAGCATCTTAACAGCCATCTTTCCTACTACTGTCTTAGATACTAACATACTGGCAATTTTCCATTCTCCTATGACTGTTCTCTTGTTAAACATGATGCAGCCTGACCTTGAAAGAGTCCCAGCTGCAGTCTTATCGTATAGCAAGTTATCTCATAGCAGGACTCCTGTGTCCTGCTTGGAAGGACATTCTGCCTCCCTCACATCCTCCCTTTGGCCCATTCCCTCATTTCTCCACTACTTAAACCCTGTGGTTATATTATTTAAATGAGACTTAATCAGAAGACTGTCTTGTCTCCATCTCTTGCATCTCTTGTCCCCTCTTTCTTACTCCCTACCTCAGGGTCCCTATTGACTGACCCCGTGGGCCCCGGCAATCAATGATCAATCAGTGGTTACCAGAACCACCTGAGCCACTGGCTCTACAGTTTGCTCTGACATTGATGAGGGATAAGGAACGCAAAGGAGAGAGCAAAGGGAAAGTTTATTAAGGGAAAGCGAGACATGCTCCAGACCGTGCAGGTAACCAGGATGACAAATAATGCCCAGTTACACTGTGCTGAGCTGGAAGAGAAGTTGATCATTTCTTACTGAGATTGGTCATTTTCTAGACACAAATGTGGGCGGAGCCAGTGAGTACCGCATGCTGTTGTATACCCCTGGAACTGTCATGGGATGATCATGCAGCATTTGCCCAGTCAGGCAAGAGATGATCACTGGCTGTGGTGATCATCCCTGTTCATTCTTGTTTGCTTGTTTTGCTGCCCATTAATTAGACCATGTTCCCTTGCTCACATGATCAACTTGTTACCACAGACCCTTGTCCTTATTGCTCATCAGGAGCTGGCTCCTAAGTCAATACTTATTTCTACTGATTTCCCACTTAACATATTCTCCAGGATTGGAACAAATTCCGGAAAAAAAGAGGTGAAATTGGTCATGTTAATGTTAGAGATTAACCAATGAGAGGCAATTCAAGCTTCAATACCATTCTTCAGGTCTCTGCCTACTTCTGTGAGTGACTCTGGACATAGAGGCACATACCCAGCATTCAGAAGTCAGAGGTCTGTATTCCAAGATTTAAAGAGCTGTGGTACAGGAAGACAGGAGTTCAAGGGCACCCTCTACTACATTGCAAGTTCAATACCAACCTAAAATACATGGGACCCTGTACAGAAACAATAAAATAAAGGCAGGCCCATTTGAAGCAGGGGGTGATAGAATACCTATAATCCCAGCCATTCAGGAAGCTGAGGCAGATTGCATTAAATTTAAGGCAGCATGGTCTACACAGTACCAGACCTGCCAAAGCTGAGCTACAGGAAAAAATCCTGCCTCAAAAAAATACACTAGCCTCTCTGTATCCAGATAGCAGTCTATTGGTGCTAAATGCAAGCCTAATGAGGAGGGCTGGGCTCACAAACACACTTATAGCACTTAGGAGGCTGAGGGAAGATGTTGGCCTCAAGTTCAAGACCAGCTCTCATTTGCATCTTTTAAATTGGGTTTTTCAAGAAGTTTCTGTGTATAGCTATGGCTATCCTGGAATGTGCTCTGTACACCAAGTTAGCCTCAAACTCAGAGACTCCCCTGCCTCTGCCTCTGGAAAGCTAGGATTAAAGGCCAATGCTCATTTTGAAGTTTGGTTTGGTTTGTTTGTTTCAAGACTAAGTTAGTTTCTCTGTGCAACAGCCCTACCTGTCCTGGAACTCACTCTATAGACCAGGCTGGCCTCAATTCACACAGAGATCTGCCTGCTGCCTTCTGAGTGGGTGTTTGAACTTTTGAAACATATTGTTATTTATATTTGGTGGAGGGGGCATGCTTGTGAGGTCAGAAGACAATCTGTGTAAGTTGGTTCTCTCTTCCATCATGTGGATTCTGGGGACTGAACTCAAGTGGACCATTTGGTAAAATGTGTCTTTGCCCACTGAACTCTCTCTATACCCACATTCTGTTTATGCTCACCTGTCCCAGTCTTTGACTATCACTGAGTCTGGTTTGTTTTCTGTATCTGAATTATTCAGAGAGCAGAGCAGTACTTTCTCTCCCTCATGTTGCCACCCCCCCCCCTTAAGTCTCATGCAAGTCTTGGAGGCTGAGGAGATGCCTCATTGGGGAAATGCTGCTCAACATTACAACCTGAGTTCAGATCCACAGCAGTGTTGTAAAAAGCTGGGTGTAGTGATACAATCGGTAATTCCAGTGCTGGAGAGGTGGGGACAGGAGGCTTCTGGGACTCTCTGGCTGCCAGTCTCGAAGTCTAGCTAACTGGTAAGCTTTACAATCAGTGAGAGACCACACCTGAAAATACAAGTACAGGAATGATAAATGACTTGGGACCTGTGTGTGTGTGTGTATTTGTGTGTGTGTATGTGTGTATTTGTGTGTGTATGTTTGTATTTGTGTGTGTGTTGTGTGTGTGTATTTGTGCATGTGTGTGTATTTGTGTGGGTGTATGTGTGTGTATTTGTGTGTGTGTATGTGTGTATATTTGTGCGTGTGTGCGTGTATTTGTGTGTGTATGTGTGTATTTGTGTGTGTGTTGTGTGTGTGTGTGTGTGTGTGTGTGTGTGTGTGCAGGCCTACATACACACATGATTGCACTCTGTACAAGGTTGGAATCTCTCAACATTTCCTTCATGGATCCTTGTCCATCTCCCCACAGCAGACCATGAGCCACAGGGACAGGGTCAAGAGGGGTCAGTCATCACAGGAGCTGGGGTCTGTTTACAGCACTGCCAGGTGGGCAAGGGTAGAACTGGGAGTCCCAGCACTCACTGCTGAGGGCTGCTGCTGTGTTGGGCCCTGGGCATGGATACTCATGGACTAGCTCTAGGACCCTAGGGAGCGGCAGTAAAGTGGACTAGCTCTAGGACCCTAGGGAACGGCAGTAAAGCAGGTCAGTGTAGGCAGAAGCGGGACAAAGGCATAGGCGTCCCCGTGGATCCAGCCCGAAGCCTTTGGCCCTACACTGACCACGCTGTGGGCCTGGACTCCAGGAGGCAGGCAGCTCTCTGGCAAGGCTCTGGGAAGTAACAGCAGAAAAGAGCTCAGGACACCCTAGCTACGGAATCCGGCGCCCTCTAGAGGAGGTCAGCAGGCATGCGTGAAGGGCGACCCACACCACTGCACAGCCTTATACCTGTCCGTGCATTTGGACTAGAGTCAAGGGAGAAACAGTGGATACCAGAGGAAGAAGGCAGCAGAACAAACATAGGAAATTCAAGGAACAGTAATGCGATGCCCTCGGTCCTCTTCACGCACCAGATCCCGCCCTCCTCACCCCATAGACGAGACACTCAACCTCCCCTGAACAGTGTTTCAGCTTCTCCTCCTCTTCCCAGCTCTAAAGTTCTCTTCCTGGGGACAGAGAGCTCCAATGCCATCACCTCCCTCTCAGCCTCTGCAGAAGCCATCCGATGGCCGGTAGAGCCAGCCACTCTTTGCTGGCTGTGTCTGAGGGCTTATCTTTGTGTTAGGCCAGGTTGGAGGGGCACTGTGGCAGGACATGGTCTTAACAGTCATAGAAGTCAACGTGGGCTCCAGACTGGAAGGCGTCCTCTTGAAGCAAGTTCAACAGTTTCTGGGCTGAGGTCCCACAATCCACCAGCTCCCCCTTTGACTTTAGCTCCTGTAGTCTGTTTCTTAACTCTGGGTCCTTGGAGGTTTCTCGAGCCAACTGCTGCATATCTGTGTCCAGGGGACCTAGTGGATGTAAAGTACAGGGTAGAGACAGAAGTTGTAGGTTCCCACTGTGTGTGGAGGGTGGAGCTGAGTCAGGTCTGCCCCAAGGCTCCATTATGTTGTCTTTTAACTTTTCTTCTCTTTTCAGTTGTTTTCTGTGTTGAAATTCAGAATCCTCCTGCCATAGCTTCTCCAGGACCAGGATTACAGGCAAGGGCCACCATGCCCACTCACATTACTACTGAGTTTTGAACTCAAAGCTGGAGTCTATTAAGCGTGGTTTACAATCAAGCGCATCATCTCTTATCCACGTGACACCTCTTCCTGACTTTCCCACTTTATCCATAGACACTAGGACCCTGCAGGTGTCTTACTCCACCTGCCGCCAACCAGGGACCAGGACACCGTCAGCATGGTCTCCAGCAGGTCCATGACTTAACTTTGCTTTCTTATTTCAAGTCCTCCTCCAGCCCTCTGATAAATTCACCTGGCTGCCCTTTGCTGGCCCACAGCTCCTCAAAACCCTGGATGGGGGCTCGGTTGGCTAAGTACTCACTGTACAAGCACAAGGTCCTGAGTTCAGATCCCCAGTAGAAAGCTGAGTGCAGGGGACGAGAGAGGAGATGCCTCCCTGTTAAAAGTACTTGCTGTTCTAGCAGAAAACCAGGGTTTGATCCCCAGAACCAACATGTCAGCTCACAAATCATCTATAATTCCAGTAACAAGGGGGATGGTGCCCTCTTCTGGCCTTTGCAGGTACTGCATGTGATGAACAGATAACACATTCAGGCAAAATACCCATAAACATAAATGCAAACTCTCTCTCTCTCTCTCTCTCTCTCTCTCTCTCTCTCTCTCTCTCTCTCTCTCTCTCTCTCACACACACACACACACACACACACACCCCCTCAACCTCACTAGCATTTCTGTATAATGTCTTCCACCTGCTAATAAACAGCCCTCAAGGAATTGTGTAGCCTACCCAATTTTAATGGTGTTCAGGGACAGAAAAATCGGGAATCCTGGGCTGGAAGAAGACTCACTTTGCTTCATTAGAATGTCCTCTTGCTCTGAAACTCAGTCTCGTGTCGCCCACACGGGCTGTGTGGCCAGGGCTGACTTTGAACTCCTGCTCCCACCTCTCAAGTGCTCTCTCCACTGTGCCCAGTTTATCTCCTTGAGCGCCTCTGGGGACAGGCTTGCTACCTGTCCTTGGAAACCTGTTAGACCACTCTTACTGGAGTGGCCCCTGCTTGTCTACAGGCCGTGGGGATACCTAGGCCTCTTAGTAGTTTCTCCACGATGCTGAAGCAGCCTCCAGGGAGCTAACTTAGCTCTGAGCCCCTCTGCAATCAGCTGCCCTCCTAGCTGTGGTTTAGGTGTGATCACTGCTGTCTGAATGAGTCTAGGCTGAGCTCAGAGCCGGAGAACTGGAACAAGCAGTCTCATGTATGTGTGTGGAGGGCAGGTGCCAGTTAATTATGAGGAGACCCAGGCAGACCAAGAACTTAGAAACAAGTTTGGATCCTGGCCTGCCCACTCAAGTAGTACACAGACCATTTCCCAGGATCCTGACCTCTTCCAAACAGTACAGATAACTGGATTCCACCCTTGAGTTGCTCACACATTCCACCACATATTGCTACTCTCTAACCACAAAAATTACAAGCCTAGAAGAAAGGCCCCAGCATGGTGGCAACTTAATAGGCTGGTCAGACAAGACAAGGCACAGAAGACCAGATACCCGTAATTTTGATGAGAACAGGGGCCCTGTCTTATTCATGCGAGCACTCTTTTCCCACCCCATTCAGGGTTCCAGCATAGCTCAGCCTGGCATGCTCACCACTCAACAATGTCTGCCTGCTTGTCTTTGAACAATTATTGTGGCCAGCATCCATGAAGCTTTGCTAGGTGTTGGGGTACATGAATAATATGTGGCCATTGAGGGACAAAAAACACAGCTAAACATACAAAGGTAATATAGTCTTTTGTTTTTTTAGTTGTAATTTTGTTTTTATGTGTATGGATGTTTTGTCCCACCTGTTAGTCAGGCATCTCCTAATGCTGAGTACCTCTGTCCCTGACTGTTCTAACTTTTGCAGTCTGTATTTCCCTTGCAAGACGAGGCAGGGTGCAATCTATTCTTTCTATTACTGAGAATATAGACCAGTCTCCCTCCCTTGCCCAGGCCGCAGAAAGGTACCAGCCATGTCCGGGGCAGCAATTGCAGTATCACCCACCTACCTGGAGCATAGCTCAGCACCCTCACACTGGGTTCCTCAGCAGCTAGGACCCGGCACAACATGTCTCGGGCAGCCTTCCCAGCACAGTACAGCCCCCAGCCCTTGAAGGGCTGTAGGGCACACAGAGATGAGATGTTAACCACAGTCTTGCTGAGGCCGGGGCTATCTGAGAAGGCCTTCAGGGTGCCGGAGGTCAAGCAGAGCATGGAGGTCAGGTTCAGAGCCCAGTAGTTGTTCACCTCAGCTGGGTCATTCACATTCAGGAAGCCTTTGGAAATATCCCCAAGAGAGCCTGAAAGAACAGGACGGAACAAATGACACAGCAGCGGGGGGTGAGTTGGGGGTCTCTTTTCCTCAGCCTTCCGCAGTTCCTCCTCATATCCATTTTACCCATTTACCCCAGCTATGCAGACAACCTTAACGCAAGCTAAGAACACACCTGACTGGGAGTAGAAAAGCAGGGGGATTTGTTCAGAGACCTGCTGTCATGACTTCCGCTCCCGCCAGGAGGCACTGTTCAAGGCAATGGAGAAATTTCTACAGGCGCTTTAGACAGCAAGGCTGGGCTAACCGTGCAGGGACATCCTGTTTCCGCTTGGAGTCTGGACTTTAGGGACTACCCACTAGTGAGAGGACGCAACCCTGGTCTGGCCGTGAGTCTCACCTGCATTGTTGATGAGCAGCAGGCGCTGCAGCCCCTCGGGCCTGGGGAGCTCATGCACGGGGCAGGGCCTCCCCTTGACACAGGGTAGCAGAAAGGTGGACAAGCATCCACCAGCATCTGGGTGAAGAGAATGATCAATAGCCAGGGAGGCATGGCCTGACAGGAAATTCCAGGTCCTTCCCAGAGCAGCTGATTTCACTCGAGCCACTCCTACAAGCTCAGCTCCTTCCTGGATTTCCACTCCATTCCACAACCAGCTTCTTCCACCAGGGTGGGTTTGCCTTCATCCATACAAGGCATACCAGGAAACGACCAGTGGTATCAGTGTCCCAAGTCCTTTCTTACCTGTGTAGAGTTTGGTGTCCTTTTGCACCCTGGATGACAGAAGCTTGCTTTAGTGGAGCCCAGGTGCTCCCTTAGGACAAAATGAACAGGACACGGGAACAGAAAGACTAATGCTCAGAACCATCTCTTAAATGAGATAATGACCCATCTAATAGTAAAAACACACCTTGATTCCTCTGGAGCTTCGGAAAGACACTTTAGCACATGAACCCGTGTCATGAATGTATTAAACCACCTAATAATGTCAAATGGTAAGGAAAAATTCCCTGGGCTAGCGTGGTGGTACACACTTTTTTACCCAGCACTTCAGTTATGTCAGTGAAGGATAAGGAGTGTAAGAAAGAGATTGTTACAGTCCATTCTCAGCATGGGACGAGCTAGATCCTAGTGACAGACAAGCAGGGTGCTCTAAGACTGTCTTCCCTAGTTAGCCACTAGCCCCTCTTCGGATAAGTGCTATGCAGAGCAATTTAGCAGGATCAGAATAGGGAATCTGGTGATCAAAAGGGGCTTGTATCAAGTTCCACATTTTTTTATTGGATGAGAATTTTGGCCTGGGGTGAGATGGGGAACTAGGTGGATGGGAGTCCTACAGGTCTACAGGAGAGAGATCAGGAATGACTCTGTCTCCTGCCTAGTGTCAAATCAGCACCTTGGCCGCTTATGACTTTTCTCTATGCTGGAGTCCCTTTCTGTGAATTATAAATTTAAAACCACATAGTTTTCACTAGGCCTTTGAGTTTGTTATTGTCTGATTTACAAAAGGAGTTTAAAGATCTTCCAGACTACACAGTGAGCTCAAGGCCACCTGGGGTATATGAAACTCTGACACAAAATAAAACATAATATAGAAAAAGGGGGTGGAGAGGGTGGGGAGACAGTCCAGTAGGTGAAGTGCTATGGTACTTCAAAAGGCTTAAAGAAAAATCAAACTGTCAAATATTTTAATTGAGGCACACAAGGTCACCTGAAAAGGGATTTAAACAGGGTGCTTCTAGAAACAATTCTTTTTATAAATATAATCCAAACAGAATGCCCCTCACTTCTGGATTATGCAAAAAGATTAGCAAAGGCAGGTTTGGGACAAAGGAATGTAAATCAGCAAGGGATTATAAGGTAACCCTTTGCCTTTAGGACATGCCTTAAGGGACCCCTGGAAAGCCCCTATGCCAACTGTTTGATTTGTTTCCTGCCACTGTGGTTGAAACTCCTTCCCAGAACAATTAAATAACCTAATTGCTATTGAAAGAAAACATATTGTTTGGATGATAGAAGAGCTACAGAATAAAAACGAATTCAGGAGAAGCCATAGGTGGAAACTGACAAGGGTTAGATGAGGAAGCTCCCCAAAGTTATGGTTGGGGAAGGCTTTTGTTTTTTTATCAGGAAAACAAAAACAATCATCTTGAAGAATTTAAGGTCTTTGGATAAATAAGCACCCAAAGGAAGGAGAACTACCCAGAAAAAATTATGAAGAAAAGAAGTAATCAGACCTAGTGTGATCTCTGAAGTCTCCAAAAATTAGATTGAGTCCAAACCAGGTGGAGGTCATGCACTCCTTTAATCACTGCTCTAAAAGGCAGAGGCTTGTGTGAGTTAGAGCTCAGCCTGGTCTACAAAGTAAGTTTCAGGACAGCCAGGACTGTTCCCACAGAGAAACTCTGTCTTGAAAAAAAAAAAAAAAGAAAGAAAGAAAATAAAATGGAAACTCATAACAAATTCATCAAAACTATGATAACACCATTAAGCTGAGCAAAGATTGACTTTGAACTACAAACTGCTCAGAATAATTTCAAGGAGGCCAGCAGAGATGATCCAGTCTCAGAGACTACTCTAGCCAGGAATTGAGACAAATTTTCCCATCATGCAGAGACTGGACAACAAATGATACAGTTTAACAGTTAATCCCCCCCCCCAAGATTTTTTAGGATCCCCTAAACATGTTGTTGCCCCCAGACAGCAGGAAGTAATTTTAAGAACAGTGAAATTGGAACAAATCTTTCTTCCTCAAGTTGGTTTTGGTCATGGTTTTGTCACAGCAGTAGATAGTGTCCATAACCCAGTGAAGGACAACATCTGGAGCCTGTTATACATCACATGACTCCACCTATACTTATTAAAGTGGGAAGGGTCTGCATTAGGATTTGGATGTCAAATGTCCAAGGAATGATCCTGTGTTTGAATATTGGACCCACTCTGTTTTTGAAGTTGGGGAAAATCTGGGAAATAAACATTAGAAATAGGAAATGGGTCTTGGGAGGAATAGAGAATATCACAGTTGTAACAAGTTCGGTTTTTCCGCCCGCCGACAGGTCTTGTCCCGCAGCTGTGCCTGCCCCAAATAACGCACAGAGACTTTGTATTAGATATTATACTGTTGGCCAGTTACTAGTTTCTTATCGGCTAGCTCTGTCTTAATTATTAACCCATTTCTGCTGATCTATGTATTTTCACATGGCCTTCTCTTACCGGGGAGGCGGCTGGCGTCCAGCTGTCTCCTGGCTCTCCATCTTGACTCCTCCTTACTACTTCCTATTTCCTCCTTGTCTCCTAGTCCCTCCTATCTTCCTTTCCTATTGGCCAACAGTGCTTTATTATTAACCAGTATGAGAAACATATACAGAATGACATCTCTCATCATCTCCTCTTTTCTGTCTAAATAAAAAGAAGGGTTTTAACCTTAACATAGCAAAATATATCACATAACAGTTATCAAATAAGAATCACAGTTAACACTATTTAGTCCATTAACATTTAGCAAGATTTGAAGAAAATATTCCATCATCTATTCTATCTTTGTGTGTCTAAAGTCTAAGTAACTTATCTTTAAACCTAACTAAGGAAAACTATAACCATAACTATTTGTCTTCAACTCCATCAAAGACCACAGAAGGATAGTATATAAACTCTAGAAATGACAGAAACAACTCACTGCCTGGTCACCCGAAGTTCTTTTGTAATCTTCCATCTTCAGCCCATAGGCCATAGTGTGTCTGGCAGACCCTTCAGCAAAGCAGGAAACTTTAAGCTGTCTTCTTGTATTGGCAGTTTGTCAGTCACTTTCCTCTGTGTCCTGTAGACTGTCTGGCAGACTCTTCCATGAAGCAGGAACTCTGTAGCAATGTTTATCTTGAATCAGCAGTCACTTTTCTGTGGATCCTGCATGTCCAGTTTATACAGCATAAAGTCAAACAGTCCAGACAAGAGCAATATCTTGTCCAAATGGCTAGTCTTCAATGTCCATCTTCCTTTCTGACGCAGGTGGTGTTGCCAGGAACAATTATGTCTCATTGTCAAGTAAAACCCTAAACCATTTTAAATGCCATATTCTGTAGGTCTTTGAAAGGTTTGAAGAATTCCTATCTATCTCAAATACATCTCTGCATATCTAGAAAACCTAACTCACCTAGCTATAAGTTTTGACTATTATAGGTAACTATCTAAAATCTGTACTAAAATATACATTACATTTCTAAATGAGCTATATAAACACAACATCTAAACAAGAGGAGAAATATACTTAATCACAAAATTGACCTTAAATGGTATCAATAAATGAAAATCTATTCCAAAACAAAGGAATCAATAAATGAAAATCCATTCCAAAACAAAGTAGTCATATCTATACCACAATCCCCTTTTTACCTTTAAAAAGAATTGGCTGTGAACATTACCCATTTATAACCAAGTCCATTTAAATGAAAACAAACATTTATAAACAATATTTGGGAATTTGGGCGTCGTTCTTTCCAAACTACTTCCTGCTGACAGGGGGCGCTGTCATGGGGATCCTAAGAAGTTGCAGAAATCTTGGCTGTAGTCTTCGAGGCTGCTTTGTCCAAGCTGTTTTGAATGTTGGATCACCAGCGACTCTGTTTCAGGGGGCCTGGCTTGATCAAACCACATTAGTCTGGAAGGAATCCACAGCTTTTTATTTTCTGTGGAAACAAAAATAGAAATCCTTTTCCCCAGTAACTTGTCCTTGAACTTAAATGTTTGAGTCAAAGCATTTTTAAAATATATAAATTGAATTAATCCAGCAGTATTTCCTTCAACAGTTGTTGTTTCCTCAGCAGTCAAATGATATAAAGACAATATAATTCCATACAGTAACCAGATTCTCTCTGAGCTTTTCATCTTTATGTGGCTTTATTATTACTCTGTTTCTTTTACTTTTTATTTTTTGAGACAGAGCTTCTCCTTGTAACTCTTATCTGCCCTGGAATTCACTCTGCATACCAGGTTTACTTTGCAAATCACAAGAGATCTGCTTGCCTCTGTCTCCCAATTGCTGGGATTAAAGGTGTGTGCCACCACACCCAGTTCCTCTTTGTCTATTTAAAAACATTTTATTTTTCTCTCCCAAGCCTATGTATTTTTTTAAAACACACTGTAAACTTTTAGCACCTTTTCTTAATGTGAATCTGTCTCTACTGTAAATCTTTATCTTTTTCTGGCCATGAGTCTTTATCTGTTAAACAACAACATTGTTAAAATGAAAGTCTTTGTTTCTGCCGCGGTTTACCAAAGATGGTGGCGGGTACTTTTACCGCCAGCACTGAGAGCTGTGCTCACCACCTTGGTCTGCGCTGCCACCCAGAAAGCATTCTGCCGGCTTGGAGATGTGGTCACTGCCATTGCCATCTCTCATACACACCAATAAATTGTTAGCAGAGTTATTTAAAAGCTGTGCGGTTTTTTGCCGCTTATGCTGAGTCAGGAATCTTCCCTTAAAGGAGCCGCGCGAATATCTGCATGTCTCTAGCAAAGCAGAGTTCAACTGAGAAAAATGCTGCTACCAAGAAACCTTGCTTGTCTCTGTTCTTTTGTTTCTAAAACCCTTTTTTAAGCTTTTGCTAAATTTTAAGTGTCAGTTCTTACTAGCCACGTGGGCGCCATCTGTAAGGAGTACGGTTTTTCCGCCTGCCGCTGCCTGTCTGGTCCCACTGCCACGCCGCCAGCCCCAAATAATACACAGAGACTCTGTATTTGATACAATGCTGTTGGCCTGGTTACTTGTTTCTTATCGGCTAGCTCTGCCTTAATTATTAACCCATTTCTGCTGATCTATGTATTTCTCTTACCGGGGAGCCGGCGGCATACTGCTTTCTTCAGACTCTCCATCTTGACTCCTCCTTACTACTTCCTATTTCCTCCTTGTCTCCTAGTCCCTCCTATCTTCCTTTCCTATTGGCCAACAGTGCTTTATTATTAACCAGTATGAGAAACATATACAGAATGACATCTCTCATCACACAGTAACCATTCTTCTTGTGACCTTCTGCCACAAAGACCAGAACAGCCATCACATACTTGGGGACATGTGTGTGAGTGAGGTGTGCTGGCCATCACTGGGCCTAGGGTGCCAGGGTATGGCTCCATTTCCCATATCCATTGTCTCAGGGTTCTTGACCATTTTGAACACATCAGGCCACTGTCTTCTAGGATCCTGGGCTTTGGTGAGAAGTCTCCGGCCTAGTGGGGATCATGTAATGAATGATGACATCTTTATCCCACACAGATGTTATTCCCAGGCCCTAGAGTGCAATGGAACACAATATTTTGTCACAACATCCCAATGGAATCATCCTATAGAACCCAGAAATCTGTCTTTAGAGAAAAATAAAATGAATTCTTTCAGTGTAGACATGATTAGTTAGTACAAACTTGGCACAGAAGGCTAGGGCAAAGTGAAAATCAAAAAGAACTATGCACCTACTGCCTGGAGTCTACTAGAGTCCATAACTGAGGAAGGTCAATGCTCTGGGGTCCATTGTCACTCAGGATTCCTTGTTTCATTACTAGAGTGGAAAGCATCCTGGGTAAGGTTTGAGTGTTAATGTCCCACAAAGAATCAAGTGTTTGGACACAGTTTATACTGGGAAACACAATTTGAGGAAATTTTGAACCTCAGGAAGTTGGCTTAACCGGAAGAAGTGGCTCACTGGGCAGCATTGGGGACAGCCATGTGAGTGGAGCCAGTCTCCTCAGGCCCCTACTGCCCACTGACCACACTGGCCTTCCTGTCCTTGGCCAAAGAAGCTAAGGAAAACCAGTGAGGTGTGCTGGGCCGTCATTGGTCATTGCTGTGACCTCACAATGACAGACACCTGAGCACTAACAGCTCTGGCTGAGTCTGACTCCAGTCTGCACTTTCAGAAGCGGTTAGCTGTTTGGAGATAACTGAGATTAGTGAACCACTTGTACTTGGATATTCGTGAACTGTTGAATCAGAACACAGTGAGTTGTCTTCTAAGTTATAGATCTCGGGTTTAGAGCTTTTGTTTCTCTGGATTTAAACTAGTTATATCTTCCTTTTTCCTTGGTTTGGGGTACAATTTGGGGCAATTTTTATTTTTTTATTGGACTTTTACTCTCTTTTAACATGTCATTTTATTTGGACTTATTCATTCTTTCACCATTTAAAAATATTAGTTTATATTAACTATAAAACATTCTCACAGTGACATTTACATACATGTACAAAAACTTGGACCATATTCCCCCAATCTCACTGGCTCTTTCTACCCCTTCCAAGTCCCTCAGTGTTTCCCTTTTTATTCAGCCTCTTATGAGTAGAAGTCAAGTCATGTGGACTCCTGTTGAGAGTTCTGGTAGGCCACACTGGGTGGTCTCTCAGGGAAGAGCACCAATGTGTCTTGTCTTTGGCAGAAAGAATTCTGCTAGGGTCGTTATGTTAGGATCTTCTTTGGCAATTCAAGTTCATGACTGGAAAGGGCAGAGGACGTAGTCAGATCTCATTCTTTGTTTGTTATGTACGGAAAAGGGCAGCTGAAAAGAATTCAAGTACACAGTAACTGAAAGTATAAAGGGAGCAGATTCTTCCAGGGAGAAAAGAATAGTCCTTGGTGGGACAAGCCCCTCCTCCATCTCCTGTCCTTCTGCTGGCTTGAAGCTCTCCTTTCATATGGGACATTTTCTTTTCTACTTTAAGGTGGGGGGTGAGTATAGTACCAAAGGTAGTGTGCAATCAGAAACAGGGGATGAAAACAATAATGGTTTTGAAACAAAAGAGCTCAGAGTACAAGTCCTAGTGCTCGAGTCATCTGCCCAGAATGCCTTAGAAACACACACACACACACACACACACACACACACTCCTCCAAATACCTGTCCCTTTGGGAAAATGGTGACATTTTGTGGGCAAGGACAGTCTTTCCTGATTTTCCTAAAGCCTGTGCTATAATAAAACTCCTTCTCATCTTTTCTTTGCTTGTTTTTTCTAGACAGGGTCTCTCTGTGTAGGCATAGCTGTCCTGGAACTCTCTCTCTCTGTGGACCAGGCTAGCCCCAACCCAATCTCAAAGAGACCCACCTGCCTCTGCCTTCCAAGTGCTGGAAAAGAAGGCATGCACCACCACTTCCTCTGCCTTCCAAGTGCTGGCATGCACCACCACTTCCTATATTGACCTTTTACTATTTGGAGAGAAGCAGTGGGTAGTAGATCCTTCATGGACCAACAACAAAGCCCTCCAGCCTCCTTCCTAGTTTCCAGATAGAGGATGAGGGAGTGTCTATCCTCTGCATCTTTAATAAATCTAATATCTGACTAGAGAACTGGCGAGGAGGGCTTTGGTGCCCATTGCCGTACAGTACCCATGTCTCCCTTTCACTATGTGATGATTTAGCTTGTTAGCATCGCCAGTCAGTGCTTGTGTGTGGAATGTGTAGACATTGGATACCTTCAGTGGTGTGAAAGTGTTATTTACAGAAAACACCAGTCTTAACCTGTTGTAAATGTCCATCCACTTTCTGTGGTCTGTGTCTCATAGCTGGTTCTGGGTGGGTCCTGTGAGGTCCATTTAATGTGTTAAACTGATGACATCTGATGACAGAAGCTTAGCTTCTTTTTTTTTTTTTTAATAATTTTTTTTGGTTCCCTCTCCTTCCCTTGCATCTCTCCCTTTCTCCCTCCCTCTCCAAGAATGAGGAAAAGGCTGATCACAGCTCTCCCAACTCAGCTGTTGACATCACACTCACTTGTATCTGTGAGCTGTATCTCATAGCAAATGCTATTTTGAAGCGTTGGGTATCTTGACCATGTGCAAAACAGAATCAGTCCTTGCTCTTTGCTTTTGCTTTTTGATTTGGTGAGACAGGGTCTCCTGTAGCATAGGCCGGCTGGAGATGACCTGAAATGCTGGTTCTCTCCTCCTGTCTTCATTTTCCTCATTTAATAATTGCCATGTACTCACCGTTATGAGACCTTAGTTTTTTTTTTTTTTTTTTTTTTTTTTTTTGGTCAGCTTAGCCGCCACAGCTAAATCTACTGATACTTTAACTACCATCATTGCCCCAAGGACCCACAGTTGTCACCCCACCTCTCAGACGTAAGCCTAGCGGGATTTCTGGTTCTGTAGCCACCAGCATCACTGCAGTCCCAAATATAAGTTTTCACCCAGATTCTATTGTTCTATTTACCAATAAAGACCTGGAAACTCAGAAAGGCCAAGAAGCAACCAGCTGGCCCCTCCTTTTGGACAAAGACCCAACAAGAAAAGTGACTCTACTTCCTGTTTATCTCTATCCACATTCCTGACTCTTCCATCTTCTGTACAGTTAATTCCTGTCCACTAGGTGTTGGCTCCACCCTTTGATCCAAGGTTAATTTTATTAACACACTCTCTAGGTATGCTGGAGTTCCCATTGATCTCCTATAGAAGGTGAATCTGCTGACCCTGGAGGGCTGACATCAGGCTGGCCACAGCTAGTTGGATCATGTGTGATGGTGGTTTGTGTGTGTGTGTGTGTACTCTGTGTGTAAGTGCGTGTCTGTGTCTGAGTCCTGCCAAGTCCCTGAAGAAACTTCAATCATAACAGTATTAAGATCTAGGGACTCAAGAGCACTAGAGACTTGTCACAGAGCAGAACATGTAGCCTTTAAGAAAAGGATTCATAGACTGAGTTCATGCTTTTCCTTGATCATGGGAGGACACACACAAGCTACCAATTAGAGTTAGAGAGCAGTCCTGTTACACACTCAGTCCCCAGGTACTTGATCTTATCTTGCCAATGTCCAGATACGCAAGCAAGCAATTTCTGTTGTTTGTAGGTGACAAACCTAAGACTTTTTGTTTGAGAGAGGAAGAGAATAGGGTGCCAGGATCTGACCTCATCTTTCACATCTGTTGTCTCAGGGTTCAGGAAGATATGTATTTTCTGGGACCCTAGGCTTTGGTGAGATGTTTCAGGCCTAATGCAGATCATGGGATGACTGATGTCATCTTTATCCTCCACAGATGTTAGTCCCAAACCCTAGGGTGCCATGGAACACAGTATTTTGTCACAATATCACAATGTAGTTATCCTATGGGACCCAGAAATTGGTCTTTAGAGAAAAATGAACTGAGACTTTAAGTGATGAGTTTTTATAAGGAGTGTGAGGAACACTGGCATTTGTTCTTTATGGCACTGGAACAATTCATCAGAAAGTTTGCCCAGTCCTGAGCTTTTCTGTGCAGACTTTTTCCATAAATATTTCAATCTTGTTACTTACAGTAAATTCTCAGATGAATTTTTATCTAGAAATAGTCAGTTTCTTCCACATTTTTCCAGTCTATGAAGAAAGGACCACCTGGGTTGTTTAAAATTGAGTTTGGTGATGGTTTAGGCTAGAGTGAAGGCCCAGCAGTTAGGAGAATGTAGTGTTCTTGCAGATCTAGGTTGGCCTCCCAGCATTGCCATGGCAGATCATAACTGCCTGAAACTCAACTGGTAGGAGATCAGATGCCCTTTTCTGAACTACATGCTCAGAGAATTAAAATTATACAGAAAGATGTTCATCACTATTTTAACTAATGTGTAATACCCATGAGTTTGGATGTTGGCACCTGAGAAGGGGAGAGAGAGAGAGAGAGAGAGAGAGAGAGAGGAGAGAGACCTTATTAGAGGTGTATGACCTTCATGAGTTGGAATTAGGGCAGTTGTGAGTCACCTGACCTGGGCCAATGAGAAACAAACAATAAACCTACTGAATCCCAGAGCCACTTTCTTACCCAGACACTCTGAGTTTTGGGGTGTCTGTTGTCTTGGCAACTGTTCTGTATATGGTTATACTATAGCCTCCTCTTTAAGTGAGTGTTGGGTGCAGTAAGAAGATCATGATCCTCGCCTAAGAGCAGCTCTCAGCATCTGTGACCTTTGTTTTATTCTCTGAGTTTCCACTTGATCCTGACAACCCTATTGGAGTTGTGTTCTCTGGTCACCTGCTTTGGCAGGTGTTTGCTTCCCTTGCTGAGTGTTAAGTACCTGGTTAGGTTGTCTGCAATGTCTCTGAGAGTGTTTCCTTTGGGACATGGGGACTTGTAGCTATCTACACCTTCTGGGCCCTGATTTGAACCTTTACTTTAAACTTTCCCCGTTGTGAATTGTGTTCCAGCCACATCAAGGAGGACCAACCATGGAGCAGGGCAGGGAGGCCTGCTGCTCCACTGAGGAGGCCTCCATGACTGACTATAAGATGATGATGACCCTGGGCCAGGGCCATTTCTCAGAAGTGAAACTGGCTTTCCATGTCCCTACCTTAACCTGTGTGGCTGTCAAAGTTCTTCGAAATAAGAAGAAGAACTCCTCCCTTGAAGCCAATGAAGTCAACATCATGAAATCTGTTGAGCATCCGAACATCATTAAGTTGTATCATGTGGTGCAATCAAGAAGTACCACCTACCTGGTTATGGAGCACGCATCCCAGGGAGATCTGCTTCACCACATCCTGGAACTGGGGTCCTTACAGGAGAGCGAGGTTCGAAGGCTGTTTACTCAGATCCTCAGTGCAGTGCAGTATTGCCATAATAACCATATTGTCCATAGAGACATTAAGGCCAATAACATCCTACTGGACTGCAGGGGTAATGCCAAGTTGTGTGATTTTGGTATTGCTGCTAAAGTGCCCCCAGGGCAGAAGCTGAAGGATTTCTGTGGCACAATGCCCTATTGTGCCCCGGAACTCTTCGGAGAAGAAGCATACGATGGCTGTGCCAGTGACGTTTGGAGTTTAGGTGTGCTCCTCTTCCTGATGGTGGTGGGGCGCTTTCCTTTCAGATCAAGCTCTTCTGATGGCCTGAGGCGTCAGATCCTTGCCGCGAACTTCAGCATACCCCAGCATGTTTCCATCGATATTTTCAATGTCATCGTAGAACTGCTGATGATCAACCCTGGCAGGAGGCCCACCATTGACCAAATCATGAGGCGCCCCATGATCAGAGCCAGCAAGACTCATTCATTAACTCCTTCTACCAAGATTCTTCCAGGCACCCCAAACCCAAGTATTGTCAGCACCATGACAGTCATGGGGTATAAGCCCGAGGAAATCATTGATTCTCTGAGAGACCAAAAATACAACCAGGTGATGGCCACTTACCTGATTCTCCAACACCAGTCACCAGGGGGAGACTGTTGCCATCGGCAGGTGAAACCCTTATCTGTGCCCTTAAGGAGAGCTACTGAGCCTGCTCCCCTGACCTGCACCTTGGCATCTCTGCCCCAGGAGAAAGAACGTGAGAAAAATTCCAGGCAGGGTGGCACAAGGCATAGCATGCCTGCCACCCTGTGCTGCCAGTCAAAGAGGAATTCACCTCCAAGCCTAGAATACCTGGGCTGTCCTATGGATGATTTCCTCAAGTACAGGAGTGAGGAAATGAGTGAGAATTTCTCTAAGTCCAAGATCGGTTTGTGTGACAGGCTAATGGCGACTGACCGACCATCTGCCTTAATGTACATCAATTCTTCTAGGCTAGACCACAATGAGACCACATTTGACATAGGCAACAAGTCTTTCTGCAGTCCCCAAAAGGAACACTGCAGCTCAATGGAGACAGCCCAGAGGGTAACCCATGGATGCTCATCCCCCGGGGATACATTGCAGGTAGAAACCATAACCCAGGAAGCAGCCTGCACAGAGGAAGTAACCATAACTCAGGAAGAGGCCATCACCTTGGAAACCGCCATGACCCAGGAATCCAATACATCTCTCGGTGACATCATCACACAGGAGGAGGAAATCACCTCTGGCCAGCCTGAGGATACCAGCCCAGCTTCCTCCCCACACCGGAGGCGCCCCAGATGGAAGAGAGTCAAGAAAACAATCGTGAACTGCCTCAGACACCTGTGCTGCTGCCTCCCCCCTGCAAAGAGGAGCAGCAACTCCTCTAAGAACCTGGCTCCAAAGACACAGGATCTTGGAGCCACCCCCAGGACCAGGTGGGGGCTCTTATTTCATTTTATTCCTTCTTTTCCTCCTGTCCTTTGTGACACAGGATGACTGTGCCCACTAGTGGCTTGCTTGTGAACCTCACAATGTGTCCCTTCAAAAGACCAATCAAGTTGACCTCAGGCTTTCTGAGCAAGAAGTGGACAGCAGAGTGTGCTGATCATTGCAGGGCGAGCAGGAGTGGGGGCATGGGCAAAGGAAGCAGAGATTCCTTGGAGGACCAGTGGGGTGCTTCGGTGCTGCTCAGGCAGCACAGTGAGTTATTTGTGTTCCAAAGGCACTAATAGTCTCTTTTCTGTGTCTTTCTGCCTTGTAGTCCTGAAGAGGTCGAGCCCCAGCTCCATGGCTTGTGAGCCATGGGTTGGGGATGGGTCTGGCTGAGATGATCTGGAGAGCCAGGCCAGATCCAGGGGTCTGTGTGGCCACAGGCTCCTCCTGCAGAGGAAGAAGGGCTGTCTAGCCCAGCTCAGCTCTCACCAGGTAAAATTGCAAGCATAAAATGCAGTCTTTCCTTGGGGGCCTTGTTCAGAGGGCTAGGCTGAGTTACAAAGGTGTCCTAGGCTGTCTTGTAGAACAACAGTCCCTTGCCCTCTCCCCTACCTGAGCAAACATGACAGATTGCTCTCTGGGTGATGACTGTCCTTTGCTCCCTGTTCCTGGGCAGGGAATATGGTCTGCATGGTGTGAGACTTCTCATCCCAGGGGAGGGTGTTCCTAGTCAGACTGACCCATCTGCTTCAATGTGGGCTCCCAAGTTAAGAATGTAGCGTGCAGGCAACCAAGTCCTTACAGCAAATTCCATTGCCTGAGTCCTCAGACCCCACTCAGCAGAGCTTGGGATATTTTCATCTGGGTAGTGACTCCAAGGCGGCTGAGTGCTCTCTCTCTAGGAGTTCTGTCTCCAGTTACTCACCAACTGCTTCTCCATGCTTGCTTCTTCCAGGCCACCGTTCCCATGGGCAACTGGATGCTGTATTCAACCTCACTTGCCACAATGTGAGGGAGAGATATGCATCCTGATCATGGTCCAACCTGAGTGAGCCCTGCCCTATGAGTGGACAGCAACCTGATGAGGGTCCTGCCCAGTGCCAGCCAAAGTGTGCTTTCACGGGGCAATGGTTGCTTCCATCGGTTTCTTATATTTCTCTGTCTTTGCAAGATGCTTGTGCTCACACAGGTAAGCTGCCTACGCGCAGCTTCCCGGAAGCCTTCCCTGTCCACCCCACAGTCACATTGGTAATATCTCATCTTCTGTGTTTTTTTCCCTAGACGGTAACAACCTGCCCTGGCATGAGGCACATTGAAGCCTGTGTGATTGACTGGGATTGTCTAGCTGTAGAGCTTGTCCAGAAATTAAGGCCAAGAGAGAAGACTCCGAGATTCATCACCTTGCTGGGACATCGTTGTGTTCTACAGCATGTCCCTATAGTGTTCACAACAGTGAAAACACATTTCTCTTTTATGACATATCCTCTGAGCAACACTAAGCTCATAGGAAAGATATTTTTGTACTGAATCTGAGAAAAAGGGTGGGTCTACTCCTGCCCAACTCGGGAAGAGCACCCCAAAAACCCATGCTTTCCAACCTATTATGTACAAATCAGGGAAAGAACATTCTCCAGGATCTTGAGCTGGTTATAACCACTGGAACAGGCTGAGCAGCTCATACATAACTGAGGAGAACTTTTGAGGAGACTCTGTCCAACCTGGGAGGGAGATCTGGCTAGGAATTCTAATCCCCTGATCCACATAATACAAATATATAGTTCTACTGTCCTCCATCCACTGGAATACTGCGTCACTGGTGAGTCTCCTCTCTCTTTCTCTTTCTCTCTTGGGTCTCTGTCTGTCTCTCTGTCTATCTCTATCTCTCCCAATCACTCTATCTCTCAATTGCTCTGTTTCTGTGTATGTCTCTCTGTATGTGAACAACTTCTAGGCAGGTCAGCTGGTCTGACTGAAAATGTACTCCTAAGGAATCATCAACACTGAAGATGGCCATACACAGTACACCCAATGCAATCATAGAACAAAACTGTAATTGTCTGGAATAGAAAATTTATCCATGCAAACAAACATGAAACCTTGAGTCACACACACACACTGAAGATGCCCATACACAGTACACCCAATGCAATCATAGAACAAAACTGTAATTATCTGGAATAGAAATTATATCCATGCAAAGAAACATGAAACTTTGCATCACACACACACCTGAATAACAGACACATACAAGTATGTGAGCGGAACACATTCTGTCTACAATCCAAGATGCAAATTGTCTGTCATTCCCTGAGAGGTGTGATAAGATGTCATGTCCACACTGCCATTTTATTTTCTGACATTTGGTTCTGTCTACATTGGTTAGTAGGAATAGTATTGCCACAAACTCTTTTCCTTTGCTGGTTTAGTGTTCACACAGAGTCTTGTCCCACAACTGGGGCTGGACAGAAACTCACTGTGTTCAGGTTGGCTTTATATTCTTGCTGCTGGCTCAGATCCTGCTTAGGCACACTGAAACACTGTTAGCATGTGTGCTTTAGTCAAGGTCTCATCTGTCCCAGGCAGGTCAATCTGTAGGCAAAGATGACCTTGAGCAGGACCCTTGTCTTCCTGTCTAACTCTGCAATGCAGAATTACAGACCTGAACCACTCTGTCCTGTTCAGTAGGAAGAGAGGAAGGCCAGTATAGGAGATCCAGGCTGAGTGCAAGCCCATCTCTCAGATAACATGTAAATTGTGAATATTTTGACCTCACAGATCTGAGGGTGAACGAAAAGACCGTGAAATCAGGATTTGGCAGCATCCTGGTGGCATCTGTGACCTGGTGGAGAAGAGAGGCAGGTGTGGGAGCATGGTGGCCTGAGATCAGTGTGACGCCGATTAGAAAATTAAGGGGAAGCCCATGGTGGAGGAGCAGCCTTTAAACTTAGTTCTCATGGTGGGGGAAGACAGATCTCTGTGAGTTGTGATCTGCAGACTGGGGCACAGAAACAGCTTCAGAACAGCAAGTGTACACAGAGAAACAAACGACAAGAATTTGATATCCCTGGTATACATAGATGCTTAAAGATTGAGCACAGAAAGAGACAAACACACACACACACACACATATCCCCTGTGATCATTGGTGTGTTATGCACACACACACACACACACACACACACACACACACAATGTACAGTTCTGCTATCCTGCCCTTAACCATTCTCCCCAATAATGTATAGACCCTATACTCATGGTATTTTTTTCTCTTTTCCTAGAAGCATGACACCTAAACCCCACGGTGATGTAAGTATCAGTCCCCTGTAATGAGGAATCCTTTCTTTTCTCCTGTCCTCTCATTTTAACACCAGCTTTCTGTATTTGTACAGGCTGCCAAGGACTGTCGCCCCTCCTACCCTCAGCATAGTGAGTGTTGGTGCTATACATGAGCGCCTAGTCATAGTGGGTTTTGTGGCTTTGTTTTCAAATGATGTATGTAGCTGTGGATGATCTTGAACTTTTAATACTTTTGTGTCCATGTAGCAAATGTATGATTCTTGGAATTCCTGACCCGGCCTGGCTTATATGTCCTGGGGACAAAACACATGGCTTGCTGCATGCTGCCCAAGAGCTGTCCCAGGTGAGTCACACCTGTGTCTCAGCCTAACCTGGGATTCACTGCATAGCTGAGGAAAACCCGGAGTGCTGGATCCACCTGATGGATTTACAGATCTGTTACATTGGCCTGTGTTTTCTCTTTTAACCATTCTAGAAGACCAGCCTTTCTACCGAGAGACTTTTGAAGTACCTCAAAGGTGAACTGTGGCCGGATGGCACTCTTTCTATGAAGCTGGTGAGCTGTGATGTGTGTGCGAGAGAGGTAAAGGACGCTGTCCCTGTCCCATGACATCTCAAGGACTCCCAGGACTGTGTGCAGCTGGCCAGGACAGTCTCCAGGGTAGCCGGGTAGCTTTGAGGCCTGTTCTGATTAGCATCCCTCAGCATGGTCTCATCTATCTCCCTATGCAGCATGGTGGGACAGAATGGAAGGCAGAAACATCACCAGTGCATATCCAGATCTGCATCTGATGACACTAGGAAGATGGAGCCTCACCCCACTGCTTGAAGGTTTAGTCCCCTCACCCCTGGGGGGGGGGTCTCATTCCCTCACATTTGACCTTCCCAGGGAGTTTGTGGAATTCTCTAGAGACTAGATACCAGAGTCAGGGTATAGCTGTATGGCGATGATCCCAGGACTCTGGAGGCATAGACAGGAGACTAGACATACACTCAAGGCAGCCCGGGCCATATGAGGAGCAGTAGTGATTTGGTGGCAGTGTGAGATCGCTCTCTGAAATCAGAAAGGGAACACCCTGAATAGTGATCAGTGTGTCCAGCATACACTGTGGTTCTTGTTCCTGGGTTTGCCCAGCACAAACAAAAGCAGGTGGGGCTTGCCTGGTATTTCTAGTGGAGACAAAAGGATCATGTAGTCAAAGTCATCTTCAATATAGAGATTGGGAGCAGTCTAGAACTAATGAAACACTATTTTACTACAGACAATCCCTACTCAGAAACCTTAATGCCCATGTCTGAGAAACTAAAGGCATGGCAACCCATCACAACTGCGTATTCCTCCTGAATCAGAAGTCCTATCCTATACACAGAAGGAAAGCAGGTATCCAGATATGCAGTGATCATTTGGTGTGATCACATCTGGAATTGGCCTGAGACTTGAGTTCATCCCCTGTGCACTGCACTGAGGTGCTGCTCAGTAAGTTCTGCTATTTATAATGTAAGAGACAGTGAGGAGGGAGGTACAGAGGGCATGGAGACCCCCACCTGTGCCCCTAAGAAACTCAGAATGCAGCAGGCCCTGCCACCTGTGAGAAACTCTGAGGTTGTGCTGCCTCCTTGTGGCAGTCCTATAGCAGTTTCCTGTTAGTACACCTGCCTCAACTCAGGACACCACTGGGGTGGTTAGGTGGGTTGTGGCAGGCAGGGGTGGAGGGAGGCTTGCCCTGCTAAACTCATGTAATACAATCATATCCTTCCATTTTTATTCCTTTTTCCCATTTAGCATAGTAAAAAAATAGCTGTTAGAGCTTGACTGCCAATGCAATGTCCGCGAAGAAATCTCATAGACACATCGCTGCGCCTGGACCTCCTTTCCACAATGAGACTGGAGTGGGTGTGGAGTCAATACTGTGAGAACCACACCTGGGCAGATTAAGAAGCTCAAGAGGACTGGGACAGTGCCTGCCTGTCCATAGAATGCTGGCTTCATTGTGAGATATGCATTCATCCCCGGAATACAAGGGGAAGACGCATCAGGCTTGTTAGCTCAGCATTTGGAGATGGAGAG